CTGCATCGCGTTCAGTCAGAGCTGGGGAAGAGGTTTTCTTCCATTTGGCTCATTTGAACTCAACCAGGTCAGAGGCCTGGAGTCTTCTCTAGAGTAATGTCTGATTCCTGCGAAGGAGTCAGGTGGTCCGCTGTCATGGGAAGACTTGCATCTTGCCCTAGGTGGACCTCTGGGCCAGGTGACAGAGCAGAAGCTGAGTGTTGAAGGAAATTAAAATCAAGCCATCAAATCTTCAAGTACATCACAAGCATTTATGAAAATTGGGATTTTACACAAGGAATCATAAATTAGTCAAGTTGGTTATTGCTCTCCAAAATAAGAATATAAATGGTTGGACTTTGTGAGCTGAGATTATCTGAGCTCAGGTGATATCTGAAAGGCATAATAATGGCAAAAACTGGTCCTTAATAGATCAGAATATAGAAAGAGGAAATGCTGAACTTGGTCATTATGGGTGGATAGTTGATATCTCTCCTGTGGTCATTTTTTTCCTATTTGTCGAGGAACCAGAAAATCCCCTAACTTATGCCAGGGGAAGAAAAGGACTTTGAAAAAATTATAGAAAATTATTGGGTACATTTCTGCTTATCATGTGGTTATGACTATTATAATATCAACATTGAGATTATATGTGCGTAAATATTTTTAAAAAACACTGAAGACACACAGAGTCTAACCATTAAGCAGTATTTAACCAGTAAGTGTGCAGATGTTAACCATGACCCTGATCAGGAACACATCAGTGATGAGCATTAAGAAAATTGGAATATGACCTAATAAGCAGTAATTACAAGGATATTACAAATCTTATTATGTAGGTAAATGTCTGGAAACTTTGCACCATCTAAAATAGTATACTAGATACTCTACAATGACACATAAATTACATAATGGCATTGTAATTATATATGACTCTGCTTTTAGTATATTTATGTCAATTATATGTGGAGTTAACCTTCATCAAGAAACCTAGTGCTGATTCACTTGGTTGCCTTTTTTTTTTTTGCATTTGCTTTGCAAGAACAATCCTAAAACAGAATAAGTAGTTTGTTAATTTCATTCTTTGCCTTTTATGGCATTTACTTTTTTTTTTTTTTTCCTAATTTGAAGTGCAATCAGATGCTTCTGTGAAAAAAACAACCTGAATTATGAAACAAAATGGCTCTCTCTAAATCATTGGTGTGTGGGCAACCCAGACAGTTACCTCGCATGTGAAACTGGAAATAGGAATTGTTAGACAGTCTAAATTACAAAATATGTTTAAAATGCTATGTAATTGAGGTCACAGTATAAGGCGAACTGTTCTTTCTTTTTAAGTCTGCCACTAAAGATGGCTATAGAACCTTGAGGATTATTCTAAAAAAGCAGTATGTAAGAAATATTCAAAAGTCTGTTGAATCCATGTGTAATGGCAGTGTTGATCAAACCCCTCTAAGAAAATCTAAGAAATGCCAGCCAACGGTCATATCCACATTTGGGGGCTTATTGTCCTCATCGTGTCATCTTCATCATGCAAATTTGGTGTGTTTTAGTTGCTTTCCAGAAAGAACTCTTGCTTGCAACACAAGGATGGTGCCAGCCTAGTCCAGGCCTACAAAGTCCTATTAAGATTCTGTGTGCAGTCCTTCCTGAATGGGGATGCATGGTTCACCCGCAGTAAATAGGGGTGCACGAGAATGCTACTGGCTCATGGCAGTACTAGGGAGAGACTAGCCTGCAGTCAAGATTCCAGGGCCCCGAGGGATCAGAGGGACTGTGGCCAACAGACAACTTGGCCATGCCCAGGGAAGTATTGTTCCCTAAGTCATGCTGGGAAACGCTCCTCCTCTTAAGCGGTGACTAAGCAGAAGGGGCCAGTAGAGTTTTTACTTATTTCAGTCTGTGACATGTCTGAAACATTTTCCTTTTGGCCTCCTACCACCTCATCAGTGTAGAGAACTTAGGCAGCTCTAATCTAAACATAGAAATTCAGGTGTCATTCTGCTTAGAAAATACTCTAGAACAGCACTGTTCCAATATGGCGGCCACCAATCATATGGGCTACTGAGCACTTGATTTACTTAAAGGTGTAACATATACTACTGATTTTTAAAACAGTACAAAAATAAAAATTTTAAATATTAATTTCTCATATGATATGTTGGAATAATACTTTGGATACATTGGGTTAAACTATGCAGTTAATTTTGCCTAATATATATTATATATATTTAATGTGGCTAAGAGAAAATTTAAAATTACGTATGTTCTAGAGGATAGTTCTTCAACCATATCGTTCAAACTTCCACCTTATTTATGTATTCATGGAACCAATGAGCTCTTATAGTATGAGAAAAATCACCAGGATTCCAACTAGGCTTTTTAAATGGGGAAGATTGAGACTGTCCTTCTTTGTGGTAAAATAGTTTAGGTTATGCTTTGCATCTGAACTTGTCTGAAAACAAAAAATCAATAATGTAAAATGATACCTGTCAGCTCTAAAATGCAAAACATAATTTATTGTTCTTTGTTGAAATTCTCTTAATTCTTTTGCCTTAAATATAATTTGACTATATTGTCAATTAGTGGTAACCTTATGAAGTAGTTCAGCAAATTAAAGCTCTGTCTGCCGTTATTTAGCCTGGTAATCTTTGAGAGAGAGAATAAATCCTATTTCAGTAAGTAACATATCTATTTGCTATTCTTGCAAAATGTTAACCCAATTATCCAAATTTAGGTTGTGTTTCTATGAAATCTTAGATTGAACCTCTTGGCTGAAAGGACCAAGTTTTATGACAGCTTGGCTTGTTTTCCCCTGAAATGACTCAATTAGCCACTATTTAGGCATTATCAAGGACTTAATCTTTAACATAAGAGTCAAAATTTAAAACTCCCACTGATGTTTAAAGAGTGCAATTTACAGATTAAAAAAATAATAATAAAGGAAATTACCCTCACACCTTCAAGTACTCATCAAGGAATAGGTATGTGTACTCATTGAAATGGGTGAAACTCTTACACACACATTGGCCCTGGCGTTTACAGTGCTGTCTCTATCGTCCACAGGGCCAACCGCCGAAGGCTGAAGTCAGCCCTGAGTGTGGGATGGTGTAGTGCCCTTGCAACAATATGGGGGTGGCTGGTTCTGATATGTTCTGATCCTTCATGTCATGCCACTCTCTATTAAGATCCCCTTCCCTCTCTTCCTCCCATTTGTAATATGTGGGGCATTTACTGTACATACCTGGTAAGTCTCACTGGGAAAAGTACACCAGGCAATTGATCTTTTAAAATGGAAATCTGAATGCTTAGTAAAAAAGGCATTTTAAAGGTTAAACATAATGAGCCCTTTATAATAGCTGAAATGAGAATTTTGAGAGAGAATAAAGAAGAAAGGAAAGATACAAAGAAGAGGAGGTTAAGTACCTTCTACTAGTTAATACAAATGAAATAAAACAAAAAATTGTCTTTCTCTGAGCCGAGATGATGCCTTACGTAAGGGCTGTTTCCTGCATGCCAGTGACCTGTCAGCCCCTAACCTATGGAAGACGAGAAATCCTACCTTGTTCTCTTCTCAGGAGAAAATCCGTACAGGAAGATTTGTGCTTGGAAAACAGAATGTCTACTAAAATCCAATCACCTCAGAAACCAGGGAATTCATTTTATTTTCCAATTTAATGGTTTTGAGGAAGAGCCAAGGAACTTTTAAGATCTCCTTTTTGGATGAGGATTTTTATGTGATAGTAATTTTTTTTAAGTATGGAACACTTCACGAATTTGCGTGTCATCCTTGAGCAGGGGCCATGCTAATCTTCTCTGTATCGTTCCAATTTTAGTATATGTGCTGCCGAAGCGAGCACGTGATAGTCATTTTTTTATTGTCTGTCATTTTGTACTTTGAATATAATTCTTATTTTTTTTCTTTATTGATTTTTAGAGAGAGAGAGGAAAGGGGGAGAGAGAGAGAGAAACATCAATGAGAGAGAACACTGATTGACCACCTCCTGCGTGGTCCCCACTGGGGATTAGGCCCACAGCCTGGGCATGTGCCCTGACCGGGAATAGAACCTGCGGCCTCCTGGTGCATGGGTCGACGCTCAACTTCTGAGCCACACCGACCGGGCAAATATAATTCTTTCTGGAAATTAAGAAAATGTACTAAAATGTGATACGTAATTAATTTTATAAAATGTTCATTTCATTTCATACTAGAAATAAATCTGAGGTACTTGGAATTTCAATGTGATTTCTATAAGGGAAAAGTATTCATATGAAAATCAAAGAAATTTATTTTGGAAAAAAGTCATAGTCAAGTATCAAGTCTAATGCTACAGCTTCTCAAGTCTGACTTAAAATCAGTGATTTTCCTTTTTGTTTTGTTTTTTAAGGTAAAAGTTTCACTGTCCTAAATTGATGTGAACATTTTCGAAACTACATTGGAAAATGTGGGCACTTCATTCCAAGTGTGAGAAGATATACTAGCTTTCCAAATATATCTTTAGTTTATAAGTAGTATATCTACATAATCATCAATTGAAGGGGGGAAAAAAGACTTTATAAACAAAAATGTTTCCTTATTCTAGTAAAGTCAATAATGAATGATCCTTTAATGAAATACTATTCCCACTCTATTCAGACATTTTGGCACTACCCTGTAGGGTAGATTTTTCTAAATATTTGAAACTTGGTAAGTATAAAGTTTATCCATAAAAATGCTCCTATCTTTAAAGTTGTACACACTCATTAATCAATTCAATTTTACCTCAAAAAATAACAAGAAGTTAATCTTTGTTATTCCAAGTCCTGGTCTTATCTCCTTTCTTCCCTAAAATTCCTTACTCCTCCCTAAGTGTTGTCCATCAGAAGGGCATCTTATTAGAGAGCAGGTAAAGGATGAATTTGTAAAATACTTTCCTCAGGATTGTAAACTGACAGAATTTTAGAACATTTTTGGTTATAATTAATATAGTATATATAAATAAGAACAAAATAAAAAAGCATTCTCCATACAAGCTTTGGAGCATATGGTCTCATGGCCCTTAAAGTGTGCTTCAATTTCTTACCACTGTGGATATTTTTTGCACATGCCGTACAACTATAATGTATAACCATCTCCTTGTAAACAATTTGAACACATTGATGATAAGTTAAATGTTAATGTCATAGGAACACATTTTAGAGCACGACCCAGCACTAGCTGAGGGAGAGTCCAAAGGAATGACTGCCTTGTGAAGATGTCCAAAGGGTGTAGAATGGTTAGGTTTCCAAAGCGAAAAACACTTGTTAATATTTACTTCAAATGTGTGCTACTGGTCCCTGAAAATGCATGTTTTTAAATGTTAGGTTGTGTTTACTTAACTCATCAGCATTAGGTATCCGTTACATACCATAGAAGACACTATTTTTCATAAAGCAGTCACATGCATTGAATTTAGGATTACCAGCTGATATATATGTATTTTTTTTTTTTGCACCTCAAAAACAGAATCACTATAGTGCATATCATGCTTCCACACCTTCCTGGCTGAAGGACGAAATGCATACAGTACCAGGATTTGGCTTCCAAATCGGAAGGAAGCCAACTTAGTACTCTGGCAGGATCACATCATTCTGCTGAGCTCCAAATTCCAGACCAGGGTTTTCTTCATCTTCTTTGGGGGCTGCTGCTTCTTCCACAGTCTTCAGCTTCTCCTGCAGTAAGCCCTCTTCTACTTCTGGGTCAGACACCTTTACCACATCCTCTACTGCCTCAAGCACCATCCTGGTGGCATCAGCAGCATTTGCATCAGCATCTTGAACTTCCTCCACGCCCTTCACCTTCATCAGCTCAGCCTCTGCACTCCCAACGGCCACGTGGGCCTCATCTCCTTGACCTTTCTTTTCTGGAACAGCTTCATTGCCATCTTGGGTTGGGGAGGGCTCTTGGCTGACCTTCTGGCTCTCCTGGATGCTGCCGTGGCTACTGCTGGCGCTGCCCAACCGGGAGGAGGCCACTACAGCCTTCACTGCTGCCTGATTGGAAACAGAAAGGGTCAGGCGTCACCTCCACTTAAAGTCCCAAATCAGAGCCCAGTCTCAAGTCTGCATTTAGAGATTTTGCTCTATATGTTAGTATTCGATCTTTCAAAGTAGTATTATACTAAGATTGTCCTATGAAAACTCATTTGGAGAATAAGCAGAAAAATCTCTCTGATCTCAAATCGGTCTGTGTACTTAATCATCTAGACAATTGAAAGCCCCGAGTAAATTCGTTTGTCCACGGATTACCAGTTTTTAAAATTTTAGACTTGTGTTTCCCAAAGTATTTGTTTCGTGAAACACGGGTTTCATAGATGTTAATAGGTGTTGGGAAAAAAGAGGTCCATAGTCAGATTTATTTGAGAAATCCTGGGTTAAGTCAAGGTTATTTAATCCAGGGTATTTGAAGTTTGTTTCACCATGAAGTTTCTTTAGCATCAGCCTGTCAGTACATGATGGCTGAGTAGAACCCCATTTTTGATCCCCAGCTGTTCACTGAGATCCCTGTACATCTAGCTAGTCCTAAGCAACAGGCAAGACAAAAGCACCTAGTCTTTATCTCTCATATATTTTCTACAAAGAGATGTATTTTTCTGGATACGTTTCTATATCATTTACATTTTTTGCCAAGTATGGTAATTATTTATCTGTATTACAAAATTTAGTTTTTAAAGATTGTTTCCCAATGTTCACAGATTCAGAAAGAAGACAACTTTCTGAATAAATATCAGGTCCCCAAACAACGCTATGCAAGCAGGTCAGACCTAAGTACATGAGAAGCAGTGATAAGGTACTTGGGTAAACCTCGACATGAACACACATGCCCTCTGTTAACAAGAAGGTCTTACAAGAGCATAACATGAGACTCTAGGTGGCTTTAGACCAGCATGGTGGGGATTTCAAAGCAGGATTTTGCCTGTTATCAGAGGAGATGAACAATAGTATCAGATGAAAAATGGTGGAATTATCTTTCATAGTTCAAGATAAGAGAGAAATCTTTTTGAAAGAAACAAATCAAATGCCCTCTTACCTTAAGCTTACGCCGGGCATTGAATTCCTGGAGCTTCTTCTGAGCGGTATCCATGTGCACAAAATTGGCTGCTTTACCTGTCACCCACGGGTGCTGGAGGGCTTGGAAAGTAGTCAGCCGTTTCTTAGGATCCAAAACAATTAGTTTTCTAACCTGAAGTGATAAAGAGCCGTAAGGAGATTTGTATGGTGACTTGGACTTGCCCTTCAGCTTGTGAACCTCTAGGTCTTATTCTGTTTCCCCAGCAGTACCACTGAATATACTTAAAAGCAGTCTGTTTCAGCTCTCAGAGGTCACTGTGGGTGACCATGGCTTTGGGCAGCAGTAGCTGAGGGAGCCTGAAAAGACAGTGGTGTTTGCCACCCGAAAGCCCAAACTGTCAGGCGACTTTCCAACAGAGGTCAGAGGAACAGGTGCTGGCTGGCCTGTCTCAAGGAGAACCAGTATCTCAGTAATTCTAGGCTACACATCACAACACTTAGAATTCAGAACTTCAACGCCCTCTCAGTGGAGATGGAATCATCTGCTCATCATTATTCTTTCTGAAGGATTAAATGACAAGAAATGGGATTGTGTCATAGCCTCTATGATTATGCCACGATTCATAAATTCACGGTTCTCTCTAATCCTTGGAGGGTACTTGAAGAAATAAGCAGAGTGTTGGGGTAAAAGCCTATTTGGAATCGAAGTAAAGGTGTTGGTGGCTTGGGGACATAATTTATTTAAAGGACTAATTCCACCGATGGCAACCCATTCCGGGAGGGTTACCCCTGCTCCTGAGGATGAGCAGACAATCAACTGCCAGGAAGATCAACAACTCAAGTAATCCCTGGCCCTGGGCTAGGAAGCGGGGTCTGGAGTGAGTCAGAGACTCTTTGAAGTCAGGAGGCATGTTCAAGCCCTATTTATGTCTCCAAGTACTTTTGTGACCCTAAAGAGCCATATATGAATTCAGTGCCAGTGGCCACTCTCCTGGGCCCTTTTGTTACATGATCTCATTTCCTTTGCACATGCATTCTCATATACATATAAAACAAATGTAACTTTATTGATTTATTTTTATTTTAGTTTATGTTTTTTATCACCATTTATTCCCTCTATGCCTTCTTCCACCCCCCACAATCATCCCTCACAATCACCACACTGTTGTCCATGAGTTCTCTCCCTGCCTTTTTTTTTTGCTCGATCCCTCCATGCCCCCCACAAGTCCCAAACCCCCCATATAGCTGTCACCCCGCTCTCTATCTATAAACCTGCCTCTATTGTACATGGTAGTCCAGTTTGTTCATTAGATCGTACATACAACTAAGATCATCTGGGGCTTGATTTCTCTCACTGGCTTATTTCACTTCGCACTTAAATAATGCATATAATCCTTTCCATAACCTTGTCAGCTCATAAAGGAGGGATGGAAGAAAGCTCAGAAAGAGGCAGTGACTTGTCTAAGGCCAAACCACTTGTCACTGGTGGAAGCTGGACTCAAACTCAGGTCTGTGCTGCTTTAGAGCTCATGTCGTGGTCCCTACATTGTGGCGCCACCCAGGCAGTCAGCTCCTCTGGCCCTTGGTCTGCTCACGCTTGAAATGAGGAACTTTGAATGATTTAGGTTATGAGAAAGGGGGCACTTGAATCCAGCGGTGTCAGTTTTCAAACATCCATGGTCTCTGTCCTGATTCAGTGTTTCACTCGGTAAACATTTATCGAGTCTGTCCGCTATGCCCATATGGCAGTAAGGTCTTTTCTAAATCTAATAACCTGAGAAGAACTGAACACAGGCTAACAAAATCAGGCAGCGTGTCAAAGAAAGAATAAACATATGGTTCTCCTTTTGCTTCTTTTCTTTAAAATATGCAAAAAAAAAAAAAATGTGTCTTTGGGGTAGAGACACTGACTTTGTAGAAGCCAAAGACATGAGCCTGCTTAGGCTTAAAGTCTGAGAAGAGGTGGAGGGAGGATTAAGAAAACAAATGCACAGCAGTAAATGAAAATCTGATAGTAGTCATGCCTATCATCTGCTGGACAGGTGAACTAATACTTTTTATGGAAATGGAAACTAATCTTTAACAACATCCTTGACAATGAGATATTTTCCCATCATCTTTTCCCTCTTCTTCCTCACTACCATCCTCCTTGTCATGAAAATATGAAGAATTTACTGAAAGCCAATAGGTATTGAAAATTTACATATATCCGCATTAATTCTTACATTTGAAGATATTGAAGCACTAAATTGTTAAGAAACTGAAGGAAGGTTGGAGAGATCTAGGATTCAAACCCAAAGCCTTACGGACATCCAAAGCCCCCCCTTCCAACCTGACTCCCCACTCTTGGCACTGACACCTCTGCTGAAACTAGAACAGATTTGAGTTCTGCTGATACGTACACATTTATGGACTCCAGGATTCCTTTAGTTCTAAAGTTTTATACAGTTATTGACCAACATGATTTAGTTAAATGAAGAAACATCGCTGCTAATCCTCTTATCCATTTAATCTTTAGAAGGGATGAAAAGAAATGGAAGGAGGGCTAAATAAAGGAACTATTATTAAGTTGGTGTAATTACTTATCATTATATCCCTTCAGTCTCCCAACAATCTATAGGTACCAGTATCATCCCAGATAGGAAAAAGCATAAAGAGGTTAGATAACAAGCCCAAGGTTATACCTGTAGGTTATGAGAAAGGGGACACTTGAATCCAGCTGTGTCAGATTTTTTAAATCCATGGTTTCTGTCCGATTCATTGTTTTATTCAGTAAACATTTATTGAGTTTGTCCTCTACGCCCATATGGCACTAAGATCTGGGCACCCATGTTTCATCCTCTTCCAAAGTTTACAATATAATTAAGGAAGGCTTTTGTACAAGGAAATGTAAGTGATGGCTATCGTGAAAGAGGAAGTCCAGGGGCAAAGGAACAATGTGGCAAAAGGAATGAACCAATTATAGGAGGAGGGACTGCCACAGAGGGGCAGACTAGGCCTCCCAGAGGATGTCAAATGGCAGCTAAGGCGTGTGGTGTGTGTGTGTGTGTGTGTGTGTGTGTGTGAGAGAGAGAGAGAGAGAGAGAGAGAGAGAGAGAGAGAAAGAGAAAGAAAGATGGTGGGGAGGAAGAGGGAGGAAGTATGGAGGAAAGAACCTTACAAAGCAGAAGAGAGAACGATGGCCATATGCAGAGCTACGTGGGCGAGGGACTGGGAGGCTGGGGCCCTGAAGTGCAGACCTAGAGGACAGTGATGTGGAATGAGTGGCACAGGAGAGGGTGGCAGGCTCCCGTGTTATGTAGACCTGGTTACAAATCTTGGATTTTATCCTCAGGGCCTTAAAGCAGAACCGTAAAATGATGTGATTTATTTATAGACTGTCCCTCTGGATGCTGTGTAGACAAGGCCACGAGAAGAGGCAGGAAGACCAGGCAGGAGGCTGTGGTAGTGGTCCAGTGGGAGAGGCTGGAGCTTGGACTGGACAGAGGTGGAGATGGAGAGAAACGGATGGATTCAGGAGATGTTTAGAAGTGTGGGGCCTGCCTTGAGGGCAACGTTGGGATCACACAGCCGCATGTCACTCATACTCGCACACTTCCCAAGCACACTGGAGAAGTAATGAGGGATCTGCCTCATTAAAGAACATGGATGGTAAGGAGGAAATGTTTGGAGGGGGAATGGGTTTGGATAAGGGGTCTGGAAACCCAGATCATTAGTTCCTGACAATGACTTTCTGCTGGGAAGCTATGTGACCTTGGACAGTCATTTCACTTCTCTGGGCTTTAGCATACTTTTCTTAAAAATGAGGGGAAGTCATTTCAGATGACTCCTAAGATCCCTTGGAGATCTAATCTCTGTGATTCAAAAGTCAGCTTGTAGTGATTTCTGTGTAATTCTATTCTAGAGGATTGATGGTAAATGTTTTAATCCCATGCCTGGCCGGTGTGGCTCAGTGGATTGAGTGTTGTCCCATGGACTGAGGGGTCCGGGTTTACTCCCAGTCAGGGCACATGCCCAAGTTTCAAGCTTGATCCCCAGTAGGGGGCGTGCAAGAGTTAGCTCATTGATGTTTCTCACATTGAGGTTTTTTTCTCTCTCTCTCCCTTCCTCTCTCTCTAAAAAAGTCAATAAAAACATTTAAAAAAAGTTTTAATCCCCTGCTGGTATCCTCTTTATTGTAGAACAGGTGGGCCATCTCCCCACTTATTTCCTGAATGCAAACAAACTTCAACACAAGCCCGAGTGACGAGCCAAGTAAAGCAACAAGAACAGAAACCAAATAAAATGCACTGTTAGCACAGTGTTCCCTGTTGACAATGCCAATCACGCATGATGGGACTTGTGTCAGGATCAGGATATTTTAATACGTTTAAACATTTTAAGAAAAATGCTGTTTTGTTTGAAATACAACCAAATCTAGATAATAGCCAGCCATTGTAAAAGCAGAGTTCTTCTGTATAAGTTACGTTTGGATTCAGCCAGAATATCTGTCTTTATCAGCAAGGCTCTACATTGACTTGGTGGAAAAAAATCACGAATTAAGGCTGCAGTAATTTTAATTTGTGATAATTTGGCTAGTGGTGAGTCATACCTATTTATTATTCATGATCTATAAGGAAAACATACTAGTTTGCATTGTTTTATTAAAAATACAATTATAAAGAAGTAAGATATTAAGAGGGGCAAATTTTAAAAACGGCACTGCCCATTAATTAGCTAAAAATGAATGTGAGGGGTTTTGTTGTATTTTGTTTTGGTCACACTTACCAAGTCCTTGGCGTTCAGAGATACTTCATCCCACCAGGGGGAGATAAAGTAATATTCACAATTCAGAATTCTCCTGAACATGAACTGATCGCCTCTTTCATCATAGAATGGTTCAAATCCACAAAGTCTAGAGGGACAAAAGATAGGTAATAAAATGTCTCTAAAAGCTTAAGTATATTTCACTAATTTTTTTTTTTTGCAGAAACTCCAGACTGTTCTTCTCACAGTCCCCTGTTATGAATGCAAGTTTATTCTGCACAAGTATGAAGTGGCCTGGTTATCACTCACTCTTCAGTGTGTAAACACACAATCATGTCTTCAGGAAGTAGGAAGAGATACAAAACCAATCTAGGATTTCCAAAAGCAGTTATAATAATATTAATAGTTATGACACAAAACAACAATTATAGTAGCTAACATTATTCTAGGCAACTTGCCAATGATTTTCCATGATTTTTTTCACCAGGAATTGAGAAGACAGAGATTGATTAGAGTTCTAGTTTATTACAAAGTGGAAGAATGAGGAGATTCAAAGGTGGAAAGAGATTTTCATTCAGCCCTATTCATTGAATTCCTACATATAAATGAGTCAAGTATTAGCTTTCCATCCTATTCCAGTTTGGATTCCGAGTGAACAGAGAGAGGAGCTAAAACTAGTGTTGGAGAATGGCCTTTTAAAACTTCATACAGTGCACAGAGAGATGCAACCAGAGTCCTCTACCGTGTGTGTGACACCCCGTTTTGTACATCTCAAGGACATTTCACGGTGTTCCCCTTCATTTCTCACAGCAGGGTCTGCATAAAAGTGACTGTGAAAGGTGGGAGGAAGGAAGCGGGAACCACCTCTGGCATCCCAAAGAGAGAAGAAAAGTGAGTTCTTGGTCCAGGACCGTCACCCTCTACTGTTTCTAGATGGGTGGAAGTTCTGAAGTCACTAGGAACCAGAACGAAACTATTAAAAAACAGTCCCTGCCAGAACATGTGTTGCATTTGACGAAGAATGAGGGGAAAAGAACGAAGAAGTTAAAAAACACTTTCCCAAATCCTTTCTTCAAACTGGCCGGGTTGGCGCAGAGCACAAACGTTTGTTTACGTGCGTCCTGACCTGACGTGGTGGGTTTCCACAATTTCTCATGGCCCTTTGCTCAGGGGATGGCCCCTTGGGAGAGTCTTTGTCTTTTTCAAACATTCTGGAGCCAGCCAGGCAACGGCAAGGTCAGGCGTGTGGAGGCGCAGGCCAGGGCACCCCGCCCTGCCGTGTCTGCACAGAGGATCCGGCTCCAGCTTACGGAGAGAAGGGGGCGCGTGTCCGCACCTCCACAGGAGGCAACTCGGCCCCACCTGGCCCTCCTGTGCCCTCCACAACACTAGAAAAACCCAGCCTGGTCCAGCTGGTGTGGCTCAGTGGTTGAGCGTCAACCCATGCACCAAGAGGTGGCCGGTTCGATTCCGGGTCAGGGCACATGCTCTGCTTGCGGCCCGATCCCCAGTGGGGGGCATGCAGGAGGTGGCCCATCAATGATCTCACTCATTGATGTTTCTATCTCTCTCTCCCTCCCACTTCCTCTCTCTATAAAATCAATAAAGGGGAAAAAAATTAAATAAAAAGAAAAACACAGCCTGTTGTTGGTTAGTCATGGAGAAATTAGCCACCTTTGCAGGTTTAGTTTAGGGAACTCCCGTGGTTCCCCTTCTGGAAATCTAGAGAGAAAAGTGACAGAAGGTACGGAACTCAGACGCCTTTCGTCCTCCTCAGTCACGTCAGTGTGCGCATTGCTGACGGGCAAACAGTGTCGTGTCAGCCTGAAGTGCCCCAAATGAAAGAGATGTGGCACACGGCAGAGTGTGCACGCGCACGCAGCACAGAAACCCTGCGGAAGGGGAACGGTGCAGGCTGCCAGGGGCGGGCAGGACGGTGGGGTAATCAGGCTGCAGTGTGCACGCACAACACAAGTAGCTCCAAGCCCCTGGGCAGAGCTGCTGCGTGGGAAGTGGAAGGAGAGCGTTTGAATCTCTGACGCCATCCGATTCTGACTCTGACCTGAGCATTGTAGTCACTGCTGTTGTCTGTGGGGACGAAGGGTTTAGGTGTACAAGGTAGAGGGCCCAGAGTTCCTGTGAGAAACAACAAAATGGCCTCAGACACAGCCAGGTCGTACCACGAAGCGGCCTGCTGGAGCGCTCAGTGATAATACAGGAGATGCACCGGTCCCAGGGCCGTCACTGGAGACCACGTTCCAGTGACCCTTGCTTGGCCGACTTCATCGATGATTAATGAACTACAGATGAAATGGGAAGTCCCCAGCCCCCTGGCAATGGGCAAGGAGCACCTGGTTGGTGGTGTGGCCGTCCTGTAGCCAGGGGCCAAGCAGACGTGCACTCCTGGTTCCTCCTGGCTTGACGCCTGCCAGGGGGCCAGAGCTGCCCACGCTTGGGGCACATACCAAAGGAACAGTCCCGGGTGGCAGAGTTAGGCCAGGATTGAGGGGTATTAGTTGTAAGCAGCAATCCTATTTTCATTCTGGGGGTTCTCACTGCTTACTTTCAGCCGACAGACTTTAAAAATTATTTTCAGGGCTATAAGAAGATGTGTCTCAAACGATCACATGTTTTTCCTCTTCATTTTCCCATGTCCGTAACCATATCAGGGAGTTTTACTCATCCCATACTTCAATTTTTCAAGGTGAATGTAACGCAATTTCCTTCATCCACCTCTCTGAGTTCTTACACATCCCTAATGCTTTAACCCCTTCCAGAACATTTCAAAGTGAAATTGTAACTGGGTGGACTTATTGACATTTTAGGGGCAAACCTGAGTCATTGTTTATGTGACTGAGTTTTACACTTAGCGTCACTAAGTATGATATACCACCTGCATAATTTAGGAGAGAATCTTCCTTCCCTGGTATCAATGTGATCGCAAACACAAGCTGAAGGGATCTATGATGGGGCCTTAGGAATCCATTTTCATGAAATCAAGCACTCAGTGTGGCAAACAGAAATTACCTAACAGTTTGCACTTTCATAAGAAAAAACATGGTTCTCACCTCTCCAAGTCTTCTGAAGCTTTAAGATATTCAGGAAACACAAGGAGTTGATCACTGAAAATATCCTTGGACACATCATAGCAGATGGCCATTTTATGGGTCGCTTGTTGACTCTTTAGTTTTGGCGACTGACCAGTGTATATACTAAGAGTTTACTAACTTGGTTGGGGGTCCTACCCCAGTTACCCCATGCCTAGCCATATTACCTAAACACCGCAATTTCTAAGATCACTATTACATTAAAAACAACAACAACAACATAAAGCCCTCTTTCTTCTATGGACTAAATTGTGTCTCCTCCTCAATTTGTGTGTTAAAGCTCTAACCTCCCAATGCGATGGCATTTGGAGATGAGCTTTTGGTAGGGAATTAGGGTTAGAGGGGGCCATGCCAGTGGGACCTCATCATAGTATTAGTACCCTGTTAGGAAGAGACACGAGAGCTAGAATCCTCTCTCTGCCATGTGAGGACACAGTGAGAAGGTGGTTGTCCACAAGTCAGGAAGAAAACTCTCACCAGAACTCAGCCTGCTGGCACCCTGACCTCGGACTCCCAGCCTCCAGAGCTGTGAGAAATAAACTTCTGTGTGTAAGCCACCCAGCCTGCGGTATTTTCTTATGGCACCTGCCTGGACAATACACTTTCTTTTACACCCTCTAAAATCTCTTTACAGATTTGAATATTACAGGTTTCGGTAATTAACCTTGCAGTGTCCTCTAAATGACAACCAAATCTACTTGTTTTGAATTCAGTTCTGGAGCTCATTGACATCTTGCTTTTGTAGCCGCTGCAGACGTCTTCCTCCCCAGACCCTCTGCCATTATTCCTTCTTATTTCCCTTGTAGTCACCTGCAGTTCCATCATCTCTTTGGCAAATTTCCTGAAACCCCTGTTTATTAGTACACAGGAGCTCAGGAATGGAATTGGGGATACCAGAGAGTGAGAGATTTAGCCCATTTTTTCCTACCAGAGAAAATGTTTCTCTGAGTTTAGGGTCTCAAACTCGGGGTCCTTGAGAATCAAACAAAGATAGAAAACAAAATTGATAGCCAAAATGTATTTAAAACATTTCTGATAAGAAATGTACCAGTTTTGCCTGGACGGCATGGCTCAGTGGATTGAGCAACATCTCATGGACTGAGAAGTCCAGTTTGCGGTTCCTGGTCAGGGCATGTGTGTGGGTTTCAGGCTCGATCCCAGTAAGCGTCGTGCAGGAGGCAGCTGATCAATGTATCTCTCTCCTATTGATGTTTCTATCTCTCTCCCTTCCTCCCCCACCAAAACAATAATAAAATATTAAATAAAAAAATGTACCAGTTATTTAATTAAGAAATTAAATAACTATTTGCCCTTTAAAAAGGACTAATGCCCTAATTATTTTGATATGATGCAAACCAGTAAAATAAGAGCTCTTTAAATAGGTATACATGAGTTTCATATTCATTATTATCACCAAATAATGACTTGTCCCCCAAATCTTCTATGTACTGCATAGCAGAATGAGACACAGAAAGCCCTGGATAGAAGTTCTAGTCCCAAGAAAATGACAAAATGAAAAGCAATGCTCATTTTCAGAAAATTCTACCACTAACTATATTTAGTATGTCACAGAAAATCACAAAAAGTAAACAAGTAATCTTGCTTTTTACGAGGACTGTGAGTACCTAGCCAACATCAGCCAAGGCAAACAGTTTGCACGAAGATTGCTTTCTTCACTTACAGGATGTAGGTGATTATCCCCACAGACCACATATCCACCTCAGGTCCGTAAGCGCAGCCTCTCAGAATTTCAGGTGCTGCAGGAAGAGCAAGAAGTGTGTTAAACTGGAGTTTAAATACAACACTTGCATTTTAATAACAATCAATGGGTCAGACATGAATTCATCAACATGAACTTCAGAATGGTTTTATAATCAACCTTCTCTTCCCCGAACCAAAGTAGGAGGCTACAGATTCTTTTATCTATGTTAGTGGGAGAGCTTATGGTCTCTGTGTTTGGAGTGTATAAAAATAAAGCCATTAGCTTTAATATTCTGCATCAGAACATCAGGATACTGCTCAAATCAGAGAGACAGGGCTCTGTCTCTACTACAAAAGATCCTTTACTTCAAAGGGAGCTTTGTACATACAAAAGAAAGAAATGAAAGTGCAGCGTAGTGAATTAAAGCAGGCACAATTACGCTACCTTGAGAACTCAATCTGCCCGGAGCTCGGGCATCCACGAGTGTGTATGTTTGACAGTGTACAAGCCAGAGACTGGGGCAGACGGTGGGAAGTTCTGGAAAGTCACTGGTGCTGAAAGGTTGGAACAGGAGCCCCGAGGGGCCCTGGCATACGCCCTGGATGGTATTGAGAACTACACGGAGGTCTGCAGAGAGCAGCTGCCCCGGTGAGTTTAGGACTGTGAACTGAGAAAAGAGGACTCCTCCGTGTATAATGAGGCCGCTCCCATTAGCCCTGCCCACACTGGGAAAGAGGAAGGCGGTTCTCAACCGCAAAACAGCCCTGGAGTGTAGAACTGGGAAGAGTTCTTTCATGTTCTTACTACTTGGGAGCTGTGAAGACGGAGAGCTAACTGAGTCTAATTATTGGCCCTGAGGATTGCAGGTGTTGTTGGTTTGCCTCACTCACAGAGGAAAAAAGGATGAGAGCGCTCTACTGTCTATGCAGAAATAGGGCCCAGGACCGCAGCCCACGGTGGCCTTTTTCTGTTTTGAACAGAAGTGCGATCAGTGTCAGTGGGGTCCCTGAAGAAGGAGCTGATTGAGGAATGCTGAGCGCTCCTTGAGGGAGGCTTTGGGGAGGGGGCACCACAGTCCTCCTTCCCGCTGGGGACAGGAGAGCAAGTGAGCTGGCTCCCCTGTCCACATTGCCCCAGGGGGCTCTGGAAGGAAGCAGTCCTCCCGCGCCTCAGGGGAAGAAACTCATAGGAAGAAACACAGTAGATTTTCCACTGACATATTCCCATACTACCCCCGCTCCCCATCCTTTCCCAATCGTGATAGTCTCATTCCTGTGGAAATTGTGTTCCATAGATATCAGAGACGAAGAGCCTGTAGGTGACATGGGAGTGGGCATCCATGCACTTGAAGGCAATTCAGCAAGATGCACCCTTTAAGAAACCGTATCTGGGGCCAAGTAGTTTTTCTCATCCATAGTCTAATTATTCCTAGAAAATTTCCCTTTTAAGATTAAACCAGCATAATTAAGAAAAATGCACGCTCAGTGCCAACACCATTCACTCTGTCAGGTTGGCTTTCACTTCCCAGAGCAATCTGAATTTCTTTGGGCCCCAACAGCCCCAACACCGAACTCCCACTCAAATGCTTTGCTGTGGTGACAGGAAGCTCGTTAGGCGGCCACTCTCACGAGGGCTCCTGCGTCTGTCTCTGTCTCTGAGACTTGTTGCAATCTGGGTGCTGAAATGCATGCCCAGGAAGCACCTTCCCGCTCAGGTCTTCACAGTGGTGAGGTGCTACCAAGTCCCCCCTCCCCGCACCATTTAAACATACATACAGAAATGTGTTGGGAGAGTCTTTTACGTTTTCTGGGTTTCTATGTCCCAAGTCTAAGAGAATTGGACATTTCCAAGTCTGCCTTGAGTTTTAACCGCAAGCCGCCGTGCCGCTGGTAAAGGGAGAGTCACTGATACTTCGAGCAAGAGGACAAGACAAGCACTCTACCTGCAGAGCCTGCTACACTCCCATCCTCCTGCCAGAGCACCTTCGTGTGGCTGCTCCGTGGGCATCCCTCCTGTGGGCTGTAGTGAATCAACCCTCTCACCCTGCCTGGTCTAGAGGTTAGCATGTTGCCGCAAAGGTCAGGTGCTTGCTCTGGCCATTCTTCATAGCCCCCAGGACGACAGCTGAATGCAGTCAATACCATGGAACAAAATAGTTTCTGAATCCACTTTCTAGGGCCTCTAGACATCCTACCTGCCATGGCAATATCTGCTCCGCCTTCACAGCACTGGGTGCAGCCCTATTCTCCAGAGGCAATATTTCCTGGTAAGGCATGTTGCTCTGCGAGTACCCTTGAGGTGTGAAAGCTACACTTTGCACCGTGAGGCGCACTGAGACCAAAGGAACATAGAATGTTTTTGTCCTCCATAAGGAATTTCTCTCAAAAAGGTTTTAAAGAAGGAATTGATAATATTTATTAATCATGACGTAAACTTTGGGTGAAACTCTAAACACCTAGACACAAGTTGATACCGTTCATACTATCCTTTAAATATTTTCAATTACTAGTTAATGCGGCCTTGACTTCAGAGCCAGCAGAACTTACTCTTGTCATCTATCTGGACCCTTTCCAAGAGCCAAATGCTTTTCTAGACTGAATATCAGGCTCTGGCACACCAGGGCTTCAAGTTTCCTAGCTATCAAATGTCGCTGCTGGCGAGTCTACAGATCTGTGATTTTCTTGTTTTAAAAAAAAAATTTTCTTCCCTTTATTGATTTCAGAGAGAGAGGAAGTGGGAGGGAGAGATAGAAACATCGATGCATGCCCCTCACTGGGGATTTGGCCCACATCCTGGCCACGTGCCCTGACCGGGAATCAAACCAGCAACCTCTTGGTACATGGGTTGATGCTCAAACAGAGCCACACCGGCCGGACATACAAATCTGTGATGTTTTTAGGGTGAGAAATTGTTAACTACTTCCAATTTTTTTCAAGAAAAGTCATCAGCTAGTCCACCTTTTCATCTGTAAGCACACCTGGCTGTCCTTCATGTCTTTTCTCACCTCATGGACAAAACAAGCAAAGTGGAGGAGGGAGAAAATCATTGCAGATGTATTACAGTTTTTTAGAATGAATTTAAGATCATTTAGAGTAATCTTTTCTGTTTATTTTTTTTTTAGAGTGGGAAGGAGAGAGAGGAAGAGACAGAGAGAGGGAGAAACATCGACATGAAAGGGACACATCGACTGGTTGCCACGCACATGACCCCAACCGGGGCCGGGGACAAACTGCAACTGAGATACGTGCCCTTAGCAGGAACTGAACCCGGGTCTCTCTGGACTGCAGGCCGACGCTCTAACCGCTGAGCCAAACCGGCCAGGGCTAGAGTAATCTTTTCTGAAATAGTCAATAATCATTGATTGTTTTTCTAAGTGGATCCAAGTTTTCTGCCACTTCCTAAAATTACTGTACCCTTCACGCTATTGCCCACTGAACACTAAACACGACAGAGCTCCTCGGAGAAAACACTCCAGTCTCCAGCACAGAGCAATCTGGTAGATGGTTTCGGAATTGCCAAGATACCAGACATACCTTTTTAAAAAGCAATTTTACCTGAATATAAAATTATATAAAAAATTATGTCTCTAATTATAATATTTATTCACCAATATACCACTTAGACCTCACAGTGCTGATATTTTTAGAAGACTATGATACCATTAAAATATCTAGAGATTGAGGGTCCACCTAGAGATAGGAGTAAATGTCAGTTTGTTAAAGAAACTCACTGTACCCAGCATCAGATATGGCCTCTGACACATAGGGACCATCTGTGCAAGGTTTTCCCTCTTTCCTGAAGCCCTGGGAGGAAAAATAGGGGATAATTCTGGTCCTTGATTGTACCTTTATTTTGTCAATGTCCTAGATGAGCTTTATGATTGCTTCTTACTGAGTGAAAACTACAGAGTGGCATTCTTTTTTCTAAATTATTTTTCTTTATTGATTTTAGAGAGAGAGGAAGGGAGAGGGAGAGAGAGATAGAAACATGAATGAGAAAAAACATTGACTGGCTGCCTCCTGCATGCCCCCCACTGGGAATCTGGCCCACAGCCTGGGCATGTGCCCTGACCGGGAATCAAACCAGCCACCTCTTGGTGCTTGGGTTGACGCTCAACCAATGAACCACACCGGCCGGCCGGGCCAGAGTGGCATTCTTTATCAGAGGACTTGGTCAAACTGCTGTTAACTTTTTTGAGAAAGACAAATCTGAGGGACACTAAGGTGAATGAAATCAACATGTTCATTCATTCACGTGTTAAAGACATTATGAGCGATGTATTCAGCTCCTGCTGTAGGGTAGGCAGTGTATTAGATGGTGGGGGGGGGGGGAAGAACAGTGGGGAGTTAAAGAGAACAAGTCCCTGCCATCACGGGGTTTATAGTTTGGTGAGGGTAGGAGATGTTGATCAAGAAAATCATGTGAAGAAACGCAAAGTGGTAACTGGAAGTGCTTGTAGCGAGAGTGTCTCTTAGAGAGGGCTGACTGTGTCAGATGAGAAAGCAATTTAACCTGAGATGCAGAGCATTTAGAGAAGTGAACTAGACAAAGGGGGAGAGGGCAGTGATTGGGGAAAAAGAGAAGAGGGTGTCTGGTGGAGAAAGCACATATGAAGGGTCGTTGTGGCAGGAAAGAGCAAGAGGCACTCAGGGAGCTGGGAGAAGGAGTGTGGCTGGGGCACAGCCTGGTGTGTGCAGTGAGGCTCTGGTGCGATGGGCAGGTCAAGGCCAGGCTGCAGATTCCAGTCGGTCAGGTTTGCTGTTTGTTTTTAAATTCTCTCCTGTGCTTTCATTTGAGCGATTCAAAACACGGGGAGAAATCTGTTTTCATAATAAAGCCTCAATCTGTCTTTACTCCCATCTTAGAGTATCGGAAAATGTTCGCTATAGAGGCTTGTCTTGAATTCAGAGTTTCTTGGGGCCACAACCATCCATTGGCATCTTCAGCACACTATCCAGAAGTCTCTCTAAACTTGGCCTCTAGGGAGTGAGCAGTGGGCAAGGAGGAGGGAGAGGGATTTATCTGCAGAAGAGAGTGTTGGGAAATTCTCTGCTC